AGGAGGAAAAGGGGGGGGGGGGGGGGGACACCCCAAAATTTTATTGGGGACCCCAAAACTGGGAGGAGTCTCTTGAGGAAGACCCCAAAAATTGGGGGCGGACCCCAAAACTGGGGGGAATTTGGGGACCCCCAAATTTGGGAGGTTCAGGGAGGAATTTGGGGGGGTCCAGGGGGTTTTGGGGACCCCCCCCAGAGAAGTTTTGGGGGGTCCTGGGGGGGGGCTCCGACTTCAGGCTGCTGGAAAAAGGGGAAGGGGTGAGGGGACCCCCCAAATTTAGGGGGAGCACCCCAAAATTTTGGGGTTTTTTTGGGGATCCCCCACCCCAAAATCGTACCCTGGTCGAAGTTCAGCTTCTTGGGGGGGGGGTCCCCAAATCCTTCGACGTCCACGAGGTCCCCGGGGGGGTCGGAGTCACTCGGGGGGGGCTCTGGGGGGGACCCCAAAATTAATTGAGGACCCCAAAATTAATGGGGGACCCCAAAATTAATGGGGAGGGGCCACAGAAATCCCAAAATTGAAAGGGAGGGAACCCCAAAATTTAAAGGGAGAGACCAAAATTAATGGGGGGGGGGTCCCCCAAAATGAAAGGGGAGGGGCCAGGATAATCCAAAATTAAAGGGGGGGAGCCCCAAAATTAAAGGGTGGGTGGAAAGTGACCCCAAAATTAATGGGTGGGGGGCCCAAAAATTAAAGGGGAGGGACCAAAAAAATCCCAAAATTAAAGGGAAGGGACCAAAAAAATCCCAAAAATTAAACAGGGGAGGGGTCCCCAAAATTAAAGAATGAGGGGAAAAAATCCCAAAATTAAAGTGGGAGCCCCAAAATTAAAGGGGAGAGGCCAAAATATCTCAAAATTAAAGGGAAGGGACCAAAAAAATCCCAAAAATTAAACAGGGGAGGGGTCCCCAAAATTAAAGAATGAGGGGAAAAAATCCCAAAATTAAAGTGGGAGCCCCAAAATTAAAGGGGAGAGGCCAAAATATCTCAAAATTAAAGGGAAGGGACCAAAAAAATCCCAAAAATTAAACAGGGGAGGGGTCCCCAAAATTAAAG